CAGCACTTTATTTAGAACACCATGGCTTCCAAAGCTGTTCATGATGATTTGCTCCAGGCATTCAGTGTTCCAACCTCAGCCCCATCGCCACTGTCACCTTCCCTCCACCACTGTCCCCATTCTTCTAACCACCCTTCAAGCCTGCCCCCATGCAGGCCCAAATCATTTATTTTATATCACTTGTTGCCACAGACTGGCTAATGGAAATATGAAAACTGTTATATCTCACATAGGGACATTAAGCCCTTGTCTGAGGTTTACCAGGCTGTTGCTAGTTGAGCCTTCTATGTTAGTTTTTATTAGTCCAGTTGAGTTGGCCTCTGGGTTACACCCCATCCAATCTGGCATGCTCCTATGGGGATCCTGGGATTGTAGAGTTTGGATATGCTCCACAGCGTCTGCTCCAGAAAGTCCAGAAAATTCCACTGGGCAGTGAACTTACACAGTGACTTGGTGGAATGTGGGTGTGGCTACCTGACCTCGGAAGGCACAGAAGAGTCATGCACCCCACCCCACCCACCCGGCTCCCAGAGGCCTGGACCTCTCAGCCCAGATACCCCGCTTTACCTGATAGTTCTGGTATGGTGACAGCTCTGTGGAGCTGTCATGCAGTGGGGGTCTCCATGGCAGCAGGCATTGGGGTAAGTGTGGCTGCTGAGGATTCTGCGGGGCAGTGACTTGGCCTGTCCACCTCTTGAGGGCACCCGGTGATCACAGCCTGGATCTGTGTGTCCAAGGCAATTTTGTAGCTAGTTGATCTCTTTCGAGATTTAATCGTGAGTGCTGAAAGCTGGGAGGTAGGTGAGTTGTCAAGGCACTGGTCGTGGAATGTGGGTGTCTGAGCCCTTAAGATTTCTTAGGAAACAGGAATTTGTTGCCATTTTATTATTTGCATTTAAAGTTTTTCTTGTGGGGCTGGGGCGATAGTACAGCCGAGAGGGCATTTGCCCTATGTGCAACTGACCCAAGTTCGATCCTTGGCTCTCCACATGGTCCCTGAGCACCACCAGGAGTTATTTCTGAGTGCAGAGCCAGGAGTAACCCCAAGCATTGCTGGGTGTGACCCAGAAAACCCCCCGAAATAAAGTTTTTCTTGAGTCTTCATTATTCATTATTTTTTTTAATTGAGTCACTGTGAGTTACAGATTTTCTAGGTTATTCCTGATTGAGTTTCAGGTGTTCAGTGTTCCAGCACCAGTCCGTCACCAGTGCCACTTCCCTCCCCCAGTGTCCCCAGCTTCCCTCCTGCCTGCCCACAGCCTCCTTCTGTGATGGGAACATTTTTCTTTTGTACTTTTTTCTCCCCTTTCAGGCACTGTGGTTTGCCATTTGCTCCCGATAGGGTGTCCTGCCAGTCCTTAGGCACCAGTGCTGCTCCAGAGTGACGTGTCCTCTGTTGTTGGCACAGTGGTACATTCCCTGACTTATCCCCTTCTACTAAGGACCAGTCCTGTGTTTCCTTTCTATTATCTGTGGGCTTTAGTTATTCCCTTAATATGTGTCTTTACATCCCACATATGAGCAAGATTGTTCTGTGTGTGTCTCTCTCTCTGACTCATTTCACTCATTGGGATTCTTTCCAGATCATCCATGTATCAGCAAATTGCAATGAATTTCTTTTCATGTATTTTGAAATTTTCTTTTGTGACTTTGTTTCAACTCCTGTTTCTTGTGTTTTTTCCATCTGTAGAATTGTTTTCAGATTGTCCTGAAGTCTGTACTTATTGGTCAGATTGGTCTTATATTCTTTTTAATGAGCTACAGTTTTGTTCTTCACTGCCCTACTTTCATATTGTATAATTTTGATTTTGTATATTTGTTTCACTTGTTGGTGAAATTGCTTTTATCTTAATAAGAGGCTTTTTAATGCTGCTTGCAAGGCTGTCTGGTGGTGATGAATTAATTTTTGTTATCTGTAAAATCATTTTTCCATTCTACCCTACATGAAAATCAGTAATAGAATTTTTATAATTTAAAAAAAACTAAAGAACTTTTTCTGTGGTTGGAGAGTATCTGTACATCTGGTAGGACACTTTTCTTGCACACTGCCAATCCGGGTTCAATCCCTAGCATCTCATATGATCACGCCTTGCCAGGAGTGATCCATGAGTTTAGAACTAGGAGTAAGCCCCAAGCACTGCAATTTGGGACTGTGAGCCTAAAAATAAATAAAGAAAATGAAAACTTTTCCTTCAAGAGTTTTGAATAATTCATTCCCATCTGTCTTTTATAGTTTTTGGTGGGAAAGTTCCTTATATAAATTGTTATAATATTCTGTTCTTACCTTTATTTTTAAATCTCTGATTGTAATACATTTTGGAATTGTCTGCTTGGGGATATTTTGTTTGGGACTCTTTGAGCATCTTGTTTTTGGAAGTTTAGTTCCTTTCCAAAACTAGGCGAGTTCATGCCAACTTCAAACATGGTTTCTGTCCATTTTTTTTTCTAGGACCTTTTATAATGTGAAATTGTGTTTTCTTCATGTGGCTTCTCAGGGCTCTTTCTTTTTCTTTTTTCTACTTTCTGTTGTTTGCATATATCCCACTGCTTTCTTTTTATTTTAATTAGCTTTTTATTTTACAGCAGTGTTGATTTGTGCTTTTGGTGTAATGTGTCTTTGTACACTGCCTTTATGTTACTCCCAGACTACTCCCTCTCTCCCTTGGGCAGTCTCATTCTCTGACTGAGTCTAGGAGTTATTTCATTCATGTTTTCATTTTAATTCTTGGCTTCTTTATCTTTGTCCTCCTCCCCTCAGTCTTAACTTTGCTTAACATGATACCCTTTAGTTCCATTTGAGCTGTAGCCAGGCGGGATTCCAAACCTTAGAGCTGAGTAGTATTCCATCGTGTGAGTAGGAACTGAGCAGTCTGCCTGAAGAATTTAAAACAATTCAATGATATTATTTAAAACAACAATTTTGTGTATCTATATTAATTTCTTTACCAATTATCTTTCTTTGGGCATTTTTTGTTTCTAGATCTTGACTGTTTTAAGTATTGTATTGGACATTTCTGTGCACCCATATTTTAGGGTTTTTAAAAATATTTAATCATCATGAAATACACAACTACAAAGTTGTTCATGACTGGGGTTCAATCATACAATGTTCCAACATCAGTCCCTTCACCAGTGCACATTTCCCACCACCAGTGTCCCCCATTTTCCTCCCTCTACCCTCCATCCCCAGTCTTCCTCTGTGGCAGGCACTCTTTTCTCAGCCTCTCTCCCTCCCTCTCTCTTTCTCTCCCCACTCTCTCTCCCTCCCTCCCTCCCTCCTTCTCTCTCTCTCTCTCTCTCTCTCTCTCTCTCTCTCTCTCCTCTTGCTCTCTCATGTTTTTGTTTTCTTAGTATACTTTGTAAGTCACCATTCCTATTGACTGTTCTAAGTTAATGATTTCTCTTCAAAAATTTTGTTTCTTTTCTTTTATTATGAATCTCATATAACCTATTGGTTGCATTTTTAATTTTATTTATCATGACAGTAATTGTTGTTTTAAATTTGTTTCTGTTTTGTTTTGGGGACACATCTCACAGTGCTCAGGGATTCATTCTGGACAGGTTCTATATGGGATGCCAGGGATCGAACCCACATTGGCTATGTGCAGGCAAGCACCCTGCTGACTGTTCTGTCTCTCTAACTCCTGTTTCATTTCTTCAGAAAGGCTGCTCTGTTTCACTAAATGTGAGTTTCTGTTTGAGTTTTTGATTTGTTTTATGATCGGTGGCAAGTTGCTCCTTTTCTTTTCAACTTCTCTTATTTCATTGTGTGTTGACTTCTGTGTGTTGGGTTGAAAGTCTTTCCTTGTCTTCCTGTGAAGGCATCTCCAGAGGAAAACCCCTTTCAGCATTATGGCATACCTCTGGGCACTGTCTCCTTTTATCTCTGGAGCTGAAGGGTTCTGGGGAAACATCCGTGATCCTCTCCATGAAAATGCAGGAATTAGGGGATTGCAGCATCTCTACTCCTTTGCCATCTTACACATGCTCTTTAATCCTTTAAAATTTTTTTTTCAGCAATAGGAATTTAGTTTCATTCTTTTGCATGTGACTGACATGTTTTACAAGTTGCATTTGTTGAAGAGATTTTCTTTTTCTGTTGATTTATTTTTCATAAATTGTATTATTGTGTGTGGATTTGTTTTGTGTTCTTGTTCCTATTCCATTGATTCATTTGTCTTTTTCTGAAGTACTTTTCTGAGTTGTGAGTATTGTTACTAGTAAAGTTGGAATTTGTACATGTGATGCTTTCATATTCAGGTGATGCTTATCTATTCAAGATAGCTTATGATTTCATATAAATCATAGTAGTTTTGTTCTATGTCGCTAATCATATCATTGAAATTTTGATAGGAAGTATATTAAGTCCATTTAGATCATTTTAATTCTCCCTATCCATCAACATAGCTGATTTTTGTTTGTTTGTTTGTTTGTTTGTTTTTTAATCTACGTTTCCATGTCTTAGGGTCTTATTCTACATCTTTTGGGGAGAAGGAATTTTGCCACCCCAAAGGTTCTCAGGGCTTACTCTTGGGTCTGTGCTCTGGGTCTCCCCTGCCAATGGTTGGGGGCACCATATTTGGTCCTAGGGATTGAACCAGAGTTGGACACAAATAAGGCAAGTGCCTTAACCCTTGTTCTCTCTGCTGACCCCTTGTGTTAGGGTATGAATAATTGTTATCTTCCTGAATGAATGTATTGGAGGCTTGGTGTGTATTTGATTTTTATATTTTGTGTGAGTGGGTTCATGAGAAAGTACATTAGTGTCCATGTGAAATATTCTAATTCATTAATGCAGATACTGATTCAGCAAGAAAACCAAAGTTTTAAGTGGGTCATTGTGTAGATTACAAGTCAATACTCAGTGGTGAGGATGATGTTAGAATTTATACTAATATAAATACATTATTTTCATGCAACTTTAAAAAACTTTTTTCTTTCAAATTCTTTTTTTTTCTTTTTCTTTTCTTTTCTTTCTTTCTTTTTTTTTTTTTTTTTAGCAATTTCATGCTCAGGTGACAACAAAATCAACTCGTATGTCTTCACAAGAATCTGCTGATGAACAGAGAGTGAGTATTGCCCTCAGAATAGATGACCAGGATTGGTTGTTACTCTCTTTGATGTATACCAGTCTCTGTGGTGTTAGAGGAGACCTTGTTTTGATCTGCTTCTCCTCAATGATAAGTGATGCAGAGTAATTTTTTTTATATGCTGTTTAGCCATTTGTATGTCTTTTTTGAGGATAGTCTGTTCATCTCTTTCTATTTTTTTTATGAGGTTTGTTTCTACCAGCACTTTAATAATCTTGGGTATTAACCATTTGTCAGATGAGTGGCATGCAAATATTTTCTCCCAATCTGTAGGTATCTTTGTATTTTGATCACCATTTTTTTGAGATGCAAAGCTTCTTAATTTAATGTAGCTCTGTTTGTTTATCTTTGCTTCTGCTTACTTGGCCAGTGGCATTGAGTACTTACAGATGCTTCTAGCTTCAATATTATTAAGAGTTCTGTTTATGTTTTCTTCAGTGTGACTTACAGATTCACCTTTGACATCGAGGTTTCATTGTATTTTGATTTGACTTTTGTGCATGGCATTAGAAAAAGGTTCAAGTTCTTTTTTTGTTTTTTCAGTGGGGAACCAGGTTCCCCAGCATCACTTGTTGAAGTGACTTTCCTTGTTCCACTTCATACTTGTTGCTCCTTTATCATAGATTAATGGCCCATATACATTAGGATCCGCTTCTGATTTTACTTGTATTTCATTGATCGGAGGGTCTTTCCTTACTCCAGTACCATGCTGTTTTAATTACGATAGCTTTCTAGCACGGTATGAAGTTGGGTAAATGATGTTGCTCATCTTCTTTTCCCCTAGGATTGCTCTTAGGGGAAGGGTATTTTATTATCCTGTGTGAATTTCAGGAGTCTTTTTTTTTCTTTTTGCTTTTTGGGTCACACTCGGCGATGCTCAGGGGTTACTCCTGGCTTTGCACTCAGGAATCACTCCTGGCGGTGCTTGGGGGACCATATGGGATGCTGAGAATCGAACCCGAGTCGGCCTTGTGCTATTGCTTCAGCCCCAGGAGTCTTTAATCTATTTCTTTGAATAATGTCCTTATGAAGATTCCACTTAATCTGTGTAATGCTTTGGGGATATTACCATTTTGACAATGTTAGTCCTCCCAAACATGAACAGAAGATGTGTTTCCACTTCCTCAAATCTTCTTTTATTTTTCAAACAGTGTAGGTCTTTCACTTCTTTTGTTAAGCTGATTTTTAGGTACTTGACTTTCTGAGACTCAGGTGTAAATTCAACTGTTTCTTTAAGTTATATAGTTCATTATTTTCATATAGTCCTTAATTTTTTTTCATTTTGGTTTTGTAGCCAGTAACTTTACTATGCAAGCCAAGTGTTTCTAGGAGAGCAGTGACCTCTTTTTTTTTTTTTTGCGGGGGGTGGGGATGGGGGTTGATTTCTTGTAGAGCCTTTAGGTTCCGGCTTTCTAAGTAATAGCTCCTGTCAACTGCAAATAGTGAGAGCTTGACTTTGTCTTTTCCTATCTTTATGCCCTTAATATCTCTTTCTTGCCTAATTGCAATGACAAACAACAACCTCCAGTGCTACATTGAATAGATGTGGTGAGAGTGTTTTAGCCTTGTCTTATGCCAGATGAGAGTGTTTAGCCTTGTTTTATGCCAGATGTTGGAAGGAAGGCTTTCCATTTCTCACCACTGAGCATTGTTTGGTCTGGGCTTATGGGTAAATGGCTTTAAAGTTCCTTCAACTCCCATTTTACTGAGTTTTTTTTTGTTTTCTCATCAATGACTGTTGGATCTTGTCTAATGCTCTCACTACATCTACTGTAATGATGATATGATCTCTATTTTTCCTTGTATTAACATGGTATATTACTTTTATTGATTTGCACATGCCGCTTATATATTTTTTGAGAAGAAGTTTAAACAAAGAACAAAAACCCTCTACAATACTTTTGTCTAGTTTGGCATTCTTCATTTCTTTTTGCTTCGGCCCTCACCACCCTCCTCCGCCAACACTGCAGGGACTTCCTCTAACTGCCTAGTGTTTACTCCCAGGGGTGCAGGAGACATGTGTGCTGGGGGGGCTGAGGGGGCTGCCAGGTCTGCAGCCATGCTCTCAGCCTTGATTTTTCTCACCAGCCAGTTGATTTCTTGTAGATCTGAGCTTCCATCTCTTTGTCATTTTACTTTCTCTTAAAGTGTTTTCAACAATTTTTGTAGATGTTGGCCTGCTTCCAATGAGTATATTTTCTTTGTCTGGAAATATCTTCAATTTGTCTTTTGTGAAGGGTATTTTCATTGGGTTTAAGCTCTGTTTGGGACTTGAGGGAGATAATTTATGAATGTTTGTCTATTATTTTCTGGTTTACAATTTCTTATAATAAAAATGTCATATTGTTTTCTCTTTTAATATTTACCCTTGCCTTATTTCCTCTAAAGCTTTTCTTTATCCTTGTTAAGTCCTTCGCTTGAGTGGCCTTAGCTGTGTGTTCCTTTGGATTTTTCCTGTTTGTAGTCCTTGCAGAAATTCTTGGGTGTCTGAATTCAAGTTTATAAAATAAGAAAATTTTTCAAACCTATTGCTCTGATAATTTGATTTTTCCTTCCCTTGGCTGTACCTCTTCTATCTGGTTTTCCAATAAAAGATAGGTTAGAATATTTACTATTACTATACTGAAGCTACCCAGCCGTCGCCACACTCCAGGACGCTTTCCGGACCCGCGCGGCAGCTCCGGCCGAGACCCACGCACAACTGAAGACCCACAGAACAAGATAAGCGGAACTCTCTGAGACCTTGGACTCCAGGCTCGGCGGACCCAGGGACAGAGCTTCTCTGCTTGCTCCCACCACCACAGGTGACAAAGGGATTCTAATCAGGAGCCCCACCCTACCCTGCCCTGTCTGCTTCCATCAACCACCCAGGGATCGAATTGTGCACAGGAGACCCACCCTACCCAGATAAATACCCCACTGGCAGACCTCCACTATCGACACTACTTCACTACCCAGCCGTTGCCACACTCCAGGACGCTTTTCGAAGCAGCCACGCGACACATCATAAGACACTAAATACCCATCTTCTGGAATTGACGTACCATATTTGATAGGGTTCAAATATGGTAACACCTACAAGGGTGATTAGAGGTCACCCCAAAAGCCTCTATCCCTCTCGGAAAGACTGGCAAGCTACCGAGAGTATTCCGCCCGCACGGAAGAGCCTGGCAAGCTATCCGCTGTGTATTCGATATGCCAAAACCAGTAACTACAACTGGTCTCATTCACCTGACCCTGAAGGCTTCACCGACATGGCAGCACTGAGAAGGATGAGAAAGGAGAGGCTGACAAAATCTCAAGGCCGACCTAGGCTGCCACAACGAAGGAAGACAAAAATGATCGTCTGTACTTTCAATGCACGTACGCTAGCATCAGATGCATCCATCGAGGACCTGATGGTACAAGCGCGAATGATCAAGTACGACATCATTGGTCTGACCGAGACAAGAAGGCACGAATCTCACCATGCCGTTTTCGACACTGGAGAAGAATTGTTCCTCGGAACATGCGATAAAAGAGGTGTTGGAGGCATCGGTGTCCTTGTCAACACAAACTTGGCCAAGAGCATTGATTCATTCGAATGCCTAACAACCCGAATCGGACGTTTACATTTGAATAGATGTGGCTCACTGCCTGCAGTTTCTATCTTCGTTGTCTACGCACCAACATCTCATTATGATGAAAGAGAAATCGAGAAGTTCTACATGGAGCTGGAGAAGTTCTATAAAGAAGACCACACCTTCTACAAGATCATTGTGGGTGATTTTAATGCCAAGATAGGACCGAGAAGATCAGCTGAAGAACTTCACATTGGGACCCATGGCCTAGAATGGAACGAACAGGGTGAGAGACTGTCAGAGTTCATCATGTTGACCAAGACCATCCATGGTAACTCACAGTTCCAGAAGGCAGAATCTAAACGATGGACATGGGAGTCTCCCGGTGGACGATTCCACAACGAAATAGACCACATCATATTCAATCGACGGTTTTGCCTGACTGATGTCGCTGTTGTCCCAAAATTTCGAACGGGATCGGACCACCGTCTCCTTCGTGCAAAATTCTACTTCACAGAGCGGGGAGAAAGGGCTGCAAAGTTCAAAAAGAGAACTCCCAGAATGACCACCAACTGGGAACTCTTTGGTACTATTGCGGCAACATGGGAAGATGCCATTGTTGACAACATTGACGAGGAATACGATCGACTGGTTCAGCACCTCCATGAATGTGCGAGGAACGCCAAGAGAGAGATAGCCACAAAAAGTCGCCTATCTTCGAAAACTCTTGAGCTAATTCGCCAGCGTGGTTTGGCGCATGCCTCAGGCAACCGCAAGCTAATGTCCGAGCTTGCAAAGCAGTGCAGAGATGCGATCAAGGAAGACCTCAAAGAGAGAAGAGCAGAAGTACTGGTAGATGCGGCAGAAGCCGGGAAAAGTATTCGTAAGGCCCGCCTGTCCTTCGCCAACTATAAGACCAAGATGACTGCCCTGCGACGTCCTGATGGATCCATCACATCCTCCAGAACGGCAATGGAGAAGATTATCCATGACTTCTACTCAAATCTCTTCGATAGCCATGTCCACTTGCCAACATACCAAATTCCACAGGATGGGTATGTTGTTCCCAACGTTCTCCCCTCCGAAATCCGACACGCCATTTCGTCAGTAAAGAAACAAACAGCACCCGGCCCAGACAAGGTCAGACCTGAACACCTGAAGAACCTGCCGTCAGTACTCATCAATACACTGGCTCGGCTCTTCACTCGATACCTGTCTGAATGCAAGGTTCCGTCCCAATGGAAAACCAGCAGGACCGTACTACTGTTCAAGAAGGGAGACATCCATGACATTGGCAACTATCGCCCGATCTGCCTATTGTCTGTCATCTACAAGTTGTTCACTCGAGTCATTCTGAATAGGATTGGCAGAACACTAGATGAAGGACAACCATGCGAGCAAGCAGGGTTCCGCAAAGGA